AGGCTTTTACCTGGTCTGCTATCATACATGTACATCCTGCGCTGTACAAGCTATTTTACGTTCTGTTTCCTAAATTTTTTGGGAAATATCCAAACTGAATGAACAGCTCTTTTCATTATATATATAACCTATTTGAGATGTTTCACAAATATTGTAACAATTAGAAAATTTTCTACTTTTTTAAAATCATACTTTGAAATTATGTAGAAACATTGTGTTTTTTTCGAAATGGTTACAATTTGTAATGTGGAATATAGCAATATAGAATTGACGCTAGGCCTTGGGCAAGCACTTCCAATTAAATTGTAATTTAGACTTATTACAAATCCTGTAAAGATTCTCATCATTAATTTTTTCTTCATAATCTAAATCTAATCTAATCATGACACAGTCACTACAAACTAGTTGTGGGATAGAAAGATTTGGCCAAGACATGGTTCTCAGCGTGTGAACCCAGGCCATCTGACACTGTCATTACAATGTCATGAGATTTTCTGATAGGATATTTTTTCGGGCTATTGAGCCAGTGCCAGTGCACCCATGTCAGGGTAGCCCGACCAGACTCTCTAATTTGATAATTGGACAGTGGTCATTTGCATGCCTGGAACAATAGGTGACCTGAGGTATGACCCGCATGACAAAGGTGCAGGAACAGAATAGTTACAAAAGAAAATGTAACATGAATTTCCTAAAGCATTGTACAACTCCTTGCACTGAAAGCAAGTTCATGTTGCAAATTGAGGATCGATTCCTTGCTTTTTATGTTTTCAGTGTACATCGGCTGAGGCTTATACATGGCAGGATTATGGCACTAAAACTCCAAATGTTTCCTTTTGATTTAAATGTTTCCATGGAGTTATTGTTTATCTGTTAACCATGTCCATTCATCTTGTTTTGTTGTGACCTGTACTTAGCCAAGTCTTCATTCTTTAAAAAAAAAGATAAATTTCTACCCCCATGATGTTTCAAAGGGATTTGGCCAGGGGAGTTGCCCATCCATAGTAGGACAGATTGGACTATACCTGCCAAACAGATACTGTAAGTGACCATGAAGTGTCCTCAAAAGTTGGCTTCCAACACCACAACCAATCAGGTCTAATATGAAGTGTTCTTGCTGAGACAAGGGTCTTTTATGATGCTATCTGATTCTTTTTAGTCATAACCGTTACACAAATGTTAAACCCCGCCCAGGTATCAGCCCAGGTAGCACAGCAGGAGACAAAATCCACCTCCTACAAACATGTTCAAAAGCTTCTACTAGAAAGAGACTTTGCAGTCTTAATAGCAGAACAATTCTTCCCATGTACAGGAAAAATTCTTCCAGTAGAAATTTCTGAAGCTTTTGCAGAAAATGTTCAAAATGAATATTCATGAAAGTTATCATCATTCATACCTGTACATCATACTTGTCAATAATATGTAATCACTTATTGAAAATATTAGCTGAAAATGTGAAGGGTGTTTATTAATATGAAGTGATATGAAGTGAAGTGTAAACCATCATCAATCTGGAAGCATCAATTTGGAAGCATATTTTTGTTTCCCACTTTCTGTTTGGTGTCTAAAGTCTGAAGGTTCTCTATCATAAGGCCTAATCATCAGCCCAGCCTGTCCACAGACCGACAGGCCTGTTCAGGCCCGCGGGCTAACCATTGAGCCCAGACCTCTCATGAATTTATCACAAACTTGTTAATTACACAGGTGTGAAAATGTGAATTCTCATTAATTCAGTGGTTTTCATGGGGTGTTCATGAGGCTAATTGGATGCGGTCTGGATGCGGGCTGGCTAACTCAGGCCGCGGGCTAAAGTTTAGGACTGCCAGGCTAAGCTGCTGGGCATGACGGTGTGTGTTCTAGACCGCCAGGCTTGCAATTTCTAAAGTCAAATATCTTGATAAATTTGTACATTCTGACCATAAAAAAAGCAACCTGGTACTGAAGATAGCATGATCTTTCCAATGGCATGCAAAAGTTCACTGTACATCCAGGAATAACAAAGTTGAAAATCAGGGGTTTCAACATAGGTGTCTCAAAATTCGGAAAGTGACATTCCAAAATTGAGGTGACCAGTGTTATCAGTTATATCTTTCAATTCTCTACTTCCTCAAAGAAGAATAGACTTAACGTCAACGTTGTCAACATCCCTCAAAAAGTATTACACAATAGTTGACAACAACAACAGCATGTGTGCAAAGTGGACTTCAATCAGTAGTGTGCC